TTTAATTAGTTTCCAAATTTCATAGTCTCTTTGTGCTATTTTCATTTTAGAAATGAGTTCAAACTATCTGAAAATCACTCTGTTTTCTCTTATACATCCTGAGAATAAATGATGATATTCCCCTAAAGATCTTCTCTTGGCATTACCATTGCCTTGAGTCACTTTGTTAATATAAAGTTGCATCCTCCCTGAGGTTAAGCCACCCACTTGTCCCAGTTTTTTACACCCCTACATTTATAATGTGTGTGTAATCTCCCACTAGGGGCCACAGGGAAACTTTGAGATGGATGTCAGAAGCTGAGTGCCTGTCCAATGATGTGTTGGTTTGGAAGGAAGTCAGCACTTTAAGTGCCACTTTAAACTGTAAAGCTGGGGAAGTTATTCTGTCCAATTCCACCCGCTGCTTTTGCACTCATGGCGCAGTGCGTTCCACCCGATCCGGCATCATAGATTTTTCCTCTGTGTTCCTGAGGTCAGTCAATGTTGTTAATGATTTGGGGCTACCAGCTGCGTGCAGGTTCCCTCCAGAAGTTAAAAATACATTCATGTAATTATCTGTAGCTACTCGTGAAGAATGACAGGAGGAAACATTTTAAGATTTGTTTTTTTTTCATCTGTATAACTATTCCCCCTAGAGTTGGTGACCATTTTGAATCATAAAGCAACTGTTGTCAACATTTCAATACATACCATGTGCAAATATTCTACTTAAAGTTTTAAAGGTCAGTGCAGTGCACACTTCGTACAGTCAAACTGATCCTGTTGTTGGTGTCCCATGCTTGACCATTCACGTTCCCTTTCCATTTGATTTGGGTGTTAAAGATTCATTGCCTTTAGTAGTATTTTAAAATTCATGAGCACAGAATCGTTTCTAAAACAGTCTCAGTTAGTGACTAAATGAACTACAGAGCAACCCCAAGAGGATCTAAGTGCTTACCATAATGGATTGCTAAGTGACTGCAGGTTAACTGGCAGAATGTTCAGAAAGGAATGACATCTGCACAGCAGAAACAAACCTATAAATACTTCATATTTATCAAGGAATAACGGTAAAATGTCTGACACGCAACAGTTAAGTCTGTCACTTGTTTGAATCTTTTTAAACAGAAATACATATGCAAATAAAATGTTGAAATTGACGGCAACCAACTAGGACAAAATGGATAAAGAGTAATGTTTTCTTAGATCTATTTGAAAGAGGAATGTGTGGTCAGTCGCAGTGAACACAAAGATTTCAGCTGCTCAGCAGTTCATGGCCATCGGTATCCCATTCCCTCCTTTGTTTTGAGCCATGTATTTTCAAAGAGAGACAAATCTCCTCTCCAGTTTGGTCAGTGACGCACTGT